AATAAATTGACATCTCTATCATGTACTTTTAACTCATAAGTATGGTATATGTCCCTGTTTATTTGGGTCCTGATTTCATGACTTTAAAACTGTGAATTGCATGAGAACAGGAAAGGTCACCTTTTACCTTTCTCATACATAATTTAATACTATATAGTTTAAATGATTTTGAACTTTCAAACAGTATCTCCTTCTGAAGTCTTGGATGAGTAGATACATTGTTAGCAGTAAAATTTTGAAATTTTTTCCCCTGAGCAATAGATCTTAATAGTGCACGTGGAATATTTGATGGGCCATTCTGTAAGTACATATACTGTCTTTTGCATTTCCCCTTAAAAAGCACTAGCAGAGTAGATTTAGTATGGTTCTTAAGGACCTTAGGAGCTGTTGGAGTCTATAAATGCGCATTAGCTTCGGGTTAAAACCACCAACTGGCTTCATGTCTAACAGAAGTCTTCCCTTTGAAGAAAGAGGCTGACTTCTCAGTAGCTATGAAAGTTCTCCATGTTATCTTTCCCTGAAACGAAGCCACTTCCTCCACACTGAAGATCTGTTCAGGACAGCCCACCCTCATCCCGAGGTGTTCTGGATAATTTGCTGCAGTCTCTACATTAGCATATTCTGCTCCATTTTGCACTTTTTCTTTCCCTTAAACTTCACTGCCTTTCCCAGCTTCCTCAGCTCTGTCCCCCCCCACCCCCACCCCCCCAACCAGGGATTGAACTCAGATCCTTGCACTTGCCAGGGAAGCACTTACTCTGCTGAGCCATCTCCCCAGCTCCTCAGTTCTGGAAGGAATATGGCCACAGGCTGTATCAGTTGGATCTTCCCTTACACCAGTGAACCTTTCTGTGGCAACTTTAAGACTATTTCGCCATCTTATTCATGTGCACACTGATGTTGTACTTTTAGTTCCATTAAAAACTTTCCTTTGTTTTCACTGCTTGGCTGTTTGGTGCAAAAGACCTAGCTTTTGACCTTTCTCACCTTTTGCCAAGTCTCTCTCACTAAATGCTATTATTTCTATCTTTGACTTAAAATAAGAAATGTGTGGCTGTTTTCACTTAAACACTCAAGGCCATTGTAGGGTTATTAGTTGATGTAACTTGAAACACTTTTGTGTACAAGGGAATAGGGAGGCTTAAGAAAAGGGAGAGAGATGAGGAGCAGGTCAGTGAAGCGATCAGAACTGGATAGCCTTTGTTCATTCAAAGTCTAAGCAGGTGTGGTACCCAAAAGCAATTACGATAATGGCATCAAAGATCAGACAGAACAGTAACAAAGAAGTTTGAGATACTGGGGAATCACCAAATTGGGACACACAGATGCACAGTGAGCACTTGCTGTTTGAAACCAACCAGCTCAATGTAGGATTGTCACGTATCTCGAATTTTTAAAAATATCAGTACAGCAAAAGACAGTGAAATAAGATATACCCATATCTTCATGTATAGAGCAACAGTTCTCACACTTCTCAGGCACCTATGTGAAAAGACCATGAAATAATATGTAGAGTTGTAAGGAGAATGTTTGTATTTGATCAAGTTGTGCTTCGTATGTTAAGGTAATATCTCACATCTTTGAGCTTGCAAGATTTCACTTCACACTGCTGTGAGGATTACTTGCTGTCATCCAGTCAACAAAATGTGACATTAAAGAAGAACTAAAGTTGAGAAGAGCTGTATGTAGTATAAAATCCGATTTAATACAGATTCAAGATTAAGCAGTCATGAAATTATATTTCATAGTAAATTTTTACCCAATAAAAATAGTTCACAAAGATTGAAAGGTGTGTTTATATACTACATTTCTCACAGATAGAAACAAAAGTTACTATCTAGCTAAATAAAGGGCCTCCTGCCGCTTTAGGTCTTTCATCGTTTTCCTAATCTTTGAAGGGTGAGTTTAGAAGATATCATATTCTAAATAGCTAATGACATTTAATCATTCTTGGATTCATTTCCCTTTTTTCCTATAAATTCATGTTAAATCTTTGAAACAAAGTGAGTAGTGAAATCTGTAACAATGATTAAGAGTAAATTCTCATTCACACTGCTAGTGTGGCTGTAGGAATTTATATGATATTCTGAGTGATATTATAATTTATTTCTTTCACTGTGTCTGAGTTTATTTGTAAAATGGGACTAATAACCCCCATTTTACCCATATAAAGTTCTTAGTACAAGGCTCACGTGTTAGTTATGATTACTTGTTCTTGATCCTTTAGTCGTAGCAGTAGGTCTGTCATGATACTCAACAAGTGTTAATGATGGTTACTTCTTGGTAACATTAGGGGAGATTTCTTCCTTTATGCATTGGGAACTTATTTTCTTTATGATACATAACAAAAAGCTGTCTCATTACAAGCGTATGTGTTGTTGTCCCAACAGAGTTTTTGCATCTGAATTTCTCAGTTCTCAGGCCTAGAAATCTGTTCATTTAAAATGCTTCTCAGGTGCTTCTGCTGAGGCATCAGATTTGGAAAACACCAAATTTGGGAAGCACGTGGCATAAATAACCCCTTCCCCAATTCAAAGAAATATAGAAGGCCCTTTAATATGCAGTAGGATTAAATAACCTCTTCTAATCTGGTCTGCTTTACCACTTTGGTGAAAAATTTGAAGAGGTGGGGTGGTGACTTCTGCTTGAACTCGAGTGCTTTGGGATGAGGACCATTCCTCCTACATGAGATGACTTTTATGCTGTCACAGCAGGGAAGAAAAGGAATTTACAGATACTTAGTCATAAGGTAGGAGTCCTTGAAATTGGGAGAGGACGGGATAAAATCAAGGAGAAGGCAGCATGTATATGTAATATTATGAATGATACTGCATGTATAATACTCTGAGGGATACATGTATATATAGTACTCTGATAATGCATGTACACATACTCTGATACCTGTATATATGATATTCTGAGTGATACTATAAATATACTATGATGCTGTGTATATACTTTGATAATGTACATATACTATGCTGAGTAATAGTGTACATGTAATATGTTGAGTGATAATATTCTGAAAAGAGTAAAAATATGGCAAGCATTGAACAGTATCACAAAATATTAAAAGAATTATTTTTCATTTTGAAAACAAATCATGTAACACAAAGGTGTGCTTTTTAGGACCTGTTCTAGAAAGACTTTGACCTTTGCTTCGTTTCATTGCCTCTCAACTGTTTTCTCTTTCAGATCAGTATAGTTAGGCCCCCATGTCCTTCAGGATTCCCACCAACTATAGATTGAAAATAGTTGGGGGAATGTTGTGTATGTTCTAAATGTATGTGCAGTTTTTTCTTGTCATTCCCTAAGCAATGCAGTATAACAACTAATTACAAAATTTGCATTGAATTTATTATTACAAGAAGTGTAGATATACTATATAGTATACAAGAGGATGTGTATAGATTATATACAGATACTTTGTCATTTTATATGAGAGACTTGCGCATCTGTGATTTCCCAGAATCCTCCATGAATAGAGGGGCAACTATAACTACCTTAGGAGTAGAGCTGTGACAGGTGCCCCGTTACCGTTCTCTTTTTTCAAGGCCTTGGACCCAGTAACTCTCACTGTCTTATCTTACCAATATCTTCAAACATACTTTTTTTTTTTTTTAACATTCAGTTCAAATTTTTTGTTGTACTTTGGTGGTTTGTCTAAAAAGTATAGCCAGTGAAATTGTTTTTGTTGTTGTTCTTGCAGTGGTGATCGTTGTTCTGTACACTTTAATTTTCTAAATATCTCAAAGCAGTTTTGATTTTAGGGCTCATCTGTGATTCCAACTTTTATTACATGTGTCCACTGACTTATGCTTTTGGTAGTAACTGGATAACAAGTTTGAGAGATGTAACAGAAAGCACTGGCTTTTTCTTAAGCAGGTAGACCTGAGTGCTGATTCTCACCCTACCTTGCGTGGGCCAACCTGTGTGGGTTATCTGTTAACTTTCTGAAACTTGTTTCCTTGTCTATGGCCATACCACCCTGAACATACCCAATCTCGTGTAAAACTTGTTTCCTCATCTGCAAGATAGGCCTAATGAGAAAGAAAAATGAAATTATGTGTGGACAGTGTCTGGCATATGATAAATGTTAAACTTATTTTTTAATTATCTTGAGAAGTTGGAAGCTCTACAGTTAGTGCACTGTCATAGGGAATTTATGATTGCAGCGTGTGGTAGGTACTAGGAAGCTCCTACAAAGGGCTTGTGTGTTTGGTCGTGGGGAAGATCAGCAGATTTCCTTTGAATGGCCATTCTGCTCCAGGCACCTCGCTAAGGTGACCTGTGGATCGCATCCAGCATCTTGCAGTTTAGAGTGGGGAGGCTCCGTCCAGCATTGCGGGGCATTGGAGCATCAGGCAAGCCTGTTTCCTCTGTTGCACCAACTATAATTTGAAGTTGTAAAAGCACATTAATGAATGGACCTGAGTATATTCAAAGAAAGCTTTACTTACAAAAACATGACAGACTAGCCCCTCAACAAGCTAAATCCCTTTTACAGTTTTAAAAAGTTTTTTTAGAACAAGAAGCAACCGGGTTGACGTTATGTCCCACAAATCCTGAAGGTTTTTTTTTTTTTTGTAATTATTTACAGAAAAAGGTTAGTAATTCCTGGTTTGGAGAATCAGAGTTGGTTGGTATAAAAGTGAAATTCAGTGCTCATAGCTGAACGGCAAGGGGGAGGAAAGATCGTGGCTTGGGTTCACAAAGAATACTGGTGGGAAAAAGGGGTTCTGTGCAAATACAGTACTGACAGTCACCCATGTCTGCAGTAGTTGTTTACTAATCAGTCCCGTTCTATAGAATTGCCTATAGCAAGAAAGGGACTAAAGTCAGCTAAGCAGGAGTTAAATACTGTCAGAAATGTTCTCCCATATAGAAGAAATTAACTTTCTGTGGCAGCTGAAAGTTATCACACTTTTGTACTGTTGGTATGTTTACTGATTTATAATTTTATAACATCCTGTTTCTTTTTTGTTTTGTTTTAACAGAAATACACTTTCGGGAAATGGCCTCTAAATCTTGGCTGAATCTTTTAACCTTCCTTTGTGGATCAGCAATAGGATTTTTTTTATGTTCTCAGCTGTTTAGTATTTTGCTGGGAGAACAAGGTGATACCCAGCCTAAGATTCTTCATAACGATCCCCACGCAAGACATTCAGATGATAGTGGGCAGAATCATCTAGCAGGACAAATGAACTTCAATGCAGATGCTAGCCAACATAAAGGTACGGCTTAAGTTACTGAGGAGTATTTCAGGCTAGGTATTATGTAAATTTTGTTATGTCATTGTCTGTTGAGTAAAATGAGCCCAAGTGTCACGTACTAAAAGATAATTTCTGGCTTGCCTCAGTAGAAACTGCTCAAACACAGAGCTGAGTTTTAGATACTTTGAGAACACATTAGAACAATACGTAGATCTGTGCAGATGATGATTTGGCAAAAAATATAAGCAGCTTAAAATATAAGCTGCAGAGGGCCCCCCATTGAGTTTTTTTTTTACTTATCCTGCAGTGAAGTACTACTTCCACATCTCTTATGTAGAAATTAAATGATGAGCTATCAAAACCTGGTTGAGTTCTGTTACCCAGCAAGCACATACTATTACAAATTGCCATGCTATGTGCATGTTTATGTAGCAGTGTTTTAGGTCTAAGAGGTGCTCTGTTTTTACTGTGGAGTACACTGGTCACTGTGCACCGACTCTGTGGCCCAGTGCTATGTCTTCAAGCGGCTGAGTAGGTCAGGTTTCGGCCCTGCTGCAGCCACTTATATTTGGTACGTGTATGCTTGGCTCAGTGGCTCACAAAATGGGGGTTATGCTCAAGGCCTGCTTACTCTCCTTAGACTTTGTATGTTGTAAGTAGAGCTCTTGTTTCTTTGCTCACCACTCTTAAAACTTGCTCTTTTTCCTACATTATTTTGTATCTGTCACAGTCTATATAAGCTGGCAAAACAAACGAACAAAAAAGCCAGGGAGATAGCTCAGTAGAATAAGTGCTTGCTTGCCTGGCAAGCGCAAGATCCTGAGTTCAATCCCCGGTACCGCAAAAATAAATAAATAAATAAATAAATAAATAAATAAATAAATAAAATTAAAAAATTAAAAAAATAAAAAACTACGTAAGTTGGAAACTGAAATCATGATAATCATGATACACACTTCCTTCCCATGCCAATCAGTGCCATTTATCACCAACTTCAGCAATTTTATCTTACCATTTCTTCAGAACTCTTCCCCTCAGTTCCCAGTATATTTCCCCAACATGCCTACACTCAGCTAAACCTTACCATAGCTTTTGCCCTTTCTCTTGGTGCGCTTCTATTCATGTAAAGACTTTCTGCATCATCTCTTCGGTTATATCCTTATCTTTCGTTCTCTGTGCTACCCAAGTCTTACTGTCACTACCCCATAGGCTGGGTCAGCCCCTTCTTTCTTTTCCCTCAGCACATGGTGCCCTTTATACAGTAGCATGCTGCATACGTAGCAATTACTGGTCTGCGTGTCAGGTTCCCCGCTGAACTGTAAAGTCCTCTGCGGCAGGGAATGTGTCTCCAACTTTTAATCTCCAGGGCCAGCACGCTTTTGTTACAAAGTGATTAATAAATGAATAATTGAAAATGAGAATGTCAACACCATTGTGTCCTAAGTGACACAGATTGGCCAAGAGAAAAGAGGGCTCTTCCATGTACTACTTCATCTGTTTGTCCAGGGTTGTTTGTCTATATAGCTAAGAAATTGGGCTTGTCAGGCACATCAGCAGTCGTTGCTTCCTCACTGAAAATAAGGGGATGATGACTATTAGGTTTGTGAATTCTTGATGGTCTTTTTCTATCCCCTTTCTCAGTTCCTTTACTTGTGAATTATACCACTATTGTTAATTTCTCATAGGACAAAGATTTTCAAACCCATTAGTTGACCCTACGATACTACCATATTGCTATTCAGTGTGGTTTGTAGACTCATTAAATATATATTGAAACTAAACTTCGAAGTAAACAGTAGAAATGTTTCAGGATTTTGTCTAAATCTAAAAATAATGACTTCAAAATTAGAGAAAAAGGAGGGCTGCAAGGAAAGCCAACATTTTGGCCCTAGCCTTCCAAGGTCAATTAAGACTCAGAGGGGCCGGGGAGATGGCTCAGTGGAGTAAGCGCTTCCCTTGCAAGGGCAAGGACCTGAGTTCAATACCCAGTTCCGCAAAAAAAACAAAAACAAAACAAACAAACAAAAAAAAGACTCAGGACATATGAGAACTTGTACTGTAATGTCACGTAACTCAGTAGTGTCCCAAATTTTCTGATGAAGGAGATTATGGGGCCAAAGAGGAAAGTGATCAATGATGTGGAGTGTGCCTAAGGAGAGTCACATGGAGAGAAAACATTCTCTCAGGCTTTCACAAAGAGCACATTGGCCAAGCAATGACCGTGACTCAT